ATTCCCCTAATAAACAAATCTCCACGCAAAATTTCAGAATTTTTCGACAAATATAACAGGAGCTATTAAGCTTCAAAGAGAGTAAACAAAATCGTGTCACTTGTAGTACGACGTCACAATAATACACACTTGATTTCCTATACATTATTTATATTTTTTGCTAACAAAATAAATAAATTATTAATTAATATTACAGCTTAATTTTACTTTTAATAATAATTGAGTTAAACACAATTTTAACTTAATGGAGCCATTTTAATATTATCCATTGTAAGGTATCATATAAATAGAATTTTTACTAAACTATCGGATAGATCTTTGTCGTTCAGTTATCATTTTCCCTTCAAAATAAATCAAGGATTATCTGGATGTTACCGGAGAGATAATGGTTTGGACGATTTCTATTTGAAAAGATGGAAACTACCTCTGATTTTCTGAGTGCAACAAAGGCGTTTCTATCAGACTCTTGGGTCCGATAGAATGCAATGGCAACAATGGCTGCAGATAGCGACTCTTTTTTGAATGTGTCTGTTTATTCCAACTCCCTTTATGACTCTCTATTGCGACAGTTATAAAGTACAATGCACTTGTTTAATCCCAAACATTATCTTTATAGCTAAACATTCAAAATTTATCTTTTTATTGCGCCATGTTCTCCGTTATAAATCAAGGCTGTGATGTATCTTTTTTTTCTAGTTAATTACTTATCTATTGTATTTAAAGACTTCTCTCTCGAGATGAAATTTTAGAAATAATTTCTTAAATTTTTCTCGCCAATATTAAAATATAATTAAATATATTTTTAAAGAATGGAATTGTTTATCTGGGCTCGATTATGTGCGTTTTTTTCAAGTTTATTATTACTATTTTACTATTCAAGTGGGGTTGAGTATAAATTAATTAATTAAGGAAAATTCAAATTATAAGTTTTTAATTATTATAATTTAAATATTTTCCATTAAAGATAATTATGCTAAATTTTCCTGTTCCTGTCAATATGGCGCCATCTTCTATCAAAGTATACAACTAGTTGTAAATAATTATTTTAAAATTAACTTTTGTAAAATATGTTTTAAAGGAAGAAAATCTTAAAATACCAGAATCGATATAATCAAAATTTTATTTTATTTTTTTTTTATTACTTTTTCTTCTAGTTTGCGCATTACTCTCGTGATTTAATGCAAATTGTTAGCATCTGAGTTCGGGATTAGCATCACCTTACTCTGATTAAATTTTTTTCTTTCCTTTCCAAACGAAAAACTTCTCCATTTTTAATATAAAAAGTTAAGCTTCGATACGCTTAGAGACAGTTTTATAAATATTTTTTTATTTATGGTATTTTTCTAAAGGAAAAGGCTAGTACAGTATTATCAAAACTAAACTGTTAATCACTCCTACTCCTCCTAATAATAATTAAATGTGTATAATAACAATTTTCTAAGCTAATAATGCGTGTATGTACACTATGTACATATATTTTTTTTTTTAATTAAGTTGTGTAAGAAAAAGAAAGTTGTGGTAAAAATATCTTTTATTAATTATGAAAAAAATTCCTTTACTACAGGGGAAAAAATGGCGCTCTTATTTAAGAGTGAAAAAAAAATTTGATTAGCTGCGTAAATAATTTAGTCGAAAGTGTTCTTTATTGCTTTAATTAATCATTAATAACCCGAGGAACTATTTTAATTATCTAAAGAACACATACTTTCAAAAAATATTTTTAAATTTATTAAAAATAATTTAATTAATTAATTATTTTTAAAACATTCTATAAAACTCAANAATTAATTATTTTTAAAACATTCTTTTTTAATTTTTTTATATTAAAATATTTTTATTTTTTTTAAAAATATACACCTTCTATTTGTGTTAGAAAAAAATATATAGGCTCTATATATACAGTGACCTTTCGTGTCAACAAATTCTAAGCCAGAAAAATTTTTATTGATGTAATTTTCGGACATTCTGCCACTTCAAGATGGCTGTAAAATGATTTAAAATCGAATTTTTGAATTATTAAAGTTAATTAATTAAACGAATATCGACAGACAGACTGATTAATATTTGTTTCTTGATATCAAATGGTTTTTTATAGTATTTATCGGCTTATTTTTTTTGAATATAAGTGATATAGAATATATACCAAGACCTTTCGTGTCAACAAAATTCATCTTGAAAGAAAAATTTTATTGATATAAACTACTTCAACAATTCTGTCACTTCAATATGCTTCGGAACTGGTTGAAACTGGTTCAAAATATCCTCATAAATCATACATTCATTTTATTTTTGTTATTATTTTTTTTATTAGAATAATGAATATTTATTTATATATATATTTTTTTATTTAAATATTTTTCGAAAATAAATTAACGAAAATAGGGATAAAAGAATTAAATCAATGCAGTAGAAAAATATAGATATGAAAAAATAAGCCGAAATAATTAAGGCAGAAATAATTTCCCAATTATAAAATATGGAAAAAAATCAGAAATTTTGCAAATGGAATGGAGGATGAAGAGATAGAAGCTTCAAACGTCGGAATAAAATAAAATAAAAGAAAGAATACTGAAGAAGAAGAAGAAGAAAGCGAGAAATTGAACTGCGGTCGAAAGAATAAAAATAACAACCACGGAATAAATTTAAAGAAGAAAGATTATGATGAATTTCAAGCTTCTTTTTATTATTATGTATTGTGAATAGGTGAAGCACAAAACTTCATTTTTTTCTATAAGCCACTACGGATAATTTTTTTTCGAGATTCCTTTTTCCCTCCCCTCTAAAGAAATCGAACCGAGTAAGGTATATTATGAAAATAAAAATGTTTTAGTTTTTAATATTCCTTGTTAAAACGCAAATAAAAGATAAAAATACATTAAGTTTCCTGCATTCGTACTAAAGAAGATTTTAATGCAAATATTCTATTATTATTTGTGTAGAGATTTATACATTATGCATTAATGAAATAGTATTGTTTGTGGTACGAAATATACACACAAGACAAAGCAGAAAAGTAAAGTTATTCGTGTTGACAAGAATGAACACGTTTCAATTTCTATTGCATGCAATTAATTACTCGTGTAATGTAAATAGATATAAGCTTACATAAACACGCGCATAACTACATAGATGGCAAATTTTTTTCATAAATATTTATAAGACTTAAAACATATTTCTATGCAATTTCAATATTTGTGTTTACTTTATATTTTGCATTGTAGGTTGCTCGGTAGACTTCATGTGGAAAGCTAATTTAAATTCAAATTTTTGTAACTTTTATGCAAACATAAATAATTCATTTCTAACGTCAAAAATTTCATTTTTCTTTTGAAAATACATTTTTTTCTTCTTTCCAAAAATTCAGGACCTACTCATTTATTCGGAAACGGTCAACTTTCTTTCATCGCTAATCGAATTGTGACAAAAGACTTTCGGTTCGAAATATTTCTTTCAAACATTGAAATCAGATCCATAGAAAGTCTAATTTCAACTAAATATTTCATATTCTTAATGTTTTATGTACTGTACTGTACATCCTTTGCCTTTATATTCTATAGCAATCAACTTAATATATTGATTTATATTCTGAAGATCTCCAAGTTCTGTACTGACCTTAATAAGTAAAATAGCAAAGGATAAGATTTCAATTCATATACCGCTAGATAATACATAATTAAACAAATGGAATTTAAAAAACAAATTAAGGAAATTCTACTTTCTTCGATTATTTCAAAATAATTTATAACAAATTTTAAAATGATAAATTCTTAATTAATTTAAGCTTTTATAAAACTTTACGTCTTAGCGTTAAAATTCTTTCAGATTATAAATAAATTGTTTTATTTTTCACTTTTTGCAATATTAATTTGTCTATAACCAAACAGCGTATCTCCCAACTGAGTTGATTGTTTATATTATTCTTTTTTTTTCTATTTTTAGTATTTTTTCTTTAATTTTTTCTTTATTTTTTTTTCTTGAATTTTATATAAAAGCAAAACTTCATTATACCTGGTTAGATTTAAGAGATTCTACAATGGTTGCGTTTTTCCCAATTAACAAACTTTCACCTTTGTAATTTGCATTCAGTTTTTTTTAAATTTTAATTTTAATTCTTTTTTTCTTGTGATGCTTATTGCTGAAATTGTCAATGGATGAACTAATTTTCTTTCTTCTCTCAAACAACACTCAAACGTTGCAGGATGTCTTTCAATTTCTTGCTTTTTCTAATCTTTATATGCAAATCCCTTTCTAAAGGTTGAAACAACACGCCAGGTTTTTCTTTCCTCCGAAGAGATTTAAAAGAAAGAAAAAAAATTACGGATAGACAATCTTCGTTAAGAGCTCTTTCGAAACATCATTATCTTGGCAATGAGTTTTAATTGTCAACAAGTCACTTGTTTTTCTAACTTTTGTTATATAAAACCGAATTTCCTTAAAACATCATTAAAATATTTTAAATTTTGAAATTAAAAATTAATATTTTCTTCCATTTAAAACATAAAACAAATAATTTTTTCTCGATCCATCCCTTAGTAAAAGTGAAATTTGTAGACGGTAATGTCGTAGGAATAAATTATAAGAAAGGTGAAAAGTGGATTCTGGTATGAAAAACAATTTCCTTCTGAGAATTGTTCTTTTAAAGAGTCAACAAGTGTCAAGGAAGATCATATTGAAATATAATAATACAAGTTGGATTCTGTACCTTTTATAAGACCAGTAGTTTATTGGGTGCTCCTATACATAATGCATGGACTCACAATATGCTCGAATGTGGTATGAAGTTGACAGCAGTCGTATCTAAATTGAATTTTTAGCGGATACCGACAAGTCTAACAAACAGCTGAATGCCAACTTCACTGTGTTATTCGATACATTATTCACACTCTAAATTTTTAACCATACAAACAAAAAATAAGTGATCATAAAAGATTTAATTTTAAGTCCGTTATTAGTTGTCTGTACAATGAGATATTTATAAATCTGACATTTTAAAGGATGAATTTTGCATCCGAAACGTATTTCTTAGAGTTGTCAATAGGGAGAGATGTGCTTGCGTCATAGTTGGAGAGCCACGCTGGCGACAAACACCAACAGCAACACAAGAGCTGCAGACTTCGAGCTGAACGGTTCACACGTGGCTATGTCTCCGAGGGCAGCATTTTACGTTATGGTGCTGTTATTTGATAGCATGATAACAGCAGCAGGTACGTAAATAACAGTTTTCAGCGTTAGACAAATTTTACTGTCAAAGATTAATGTCAAATGCTAGCGAAAACACCTTTTTGTTTTTTAAGTGTTTACATTCTTCCCCCCTTAATATTCTCTTTATAGAAATTGTAGTTTATTATATAGGCCTATATATGTGTATATATGCCAAGATAGCTCGTGGTAATTAAATAATTTATTTTGTCGTGTAGATGGAAATCCGATTAACGAATTCATTCATCGATTTGTTTAAACCGTACTGTTTGTCAATTAAGCGAATTTGTAGTCAAATTGAAATGTCCAGGTGTTAGTGATGAATGTTTGCATTAAAGGGATACATGCATACGAAACAACTGGTGTCGTCAGCACATGATATGACTATTTATAAACTTTGCACAGTCGAAATGTGCGAGAGTAAAGTCCGACTTGGTAGATTTGTAGATATTTTACCGGAGAAGCTGTTTTTTTTCTGTTGTCTCTTCAAAAAAAAAACACACACACACACACAAAATTACAATTTTAAATCTCCGGTTTTTTACTTATTTACCTTTTCTGCTTAGTGTTTCTTTTATTTTTTTGTTTGGAATAAGTTATATAAAATTTTATTTGTATGTTTACTTTGCATATTCTAAGTTTGATAAGAGTATTTGAACTTTAATGTCGTTCTATAAATAGTCTAATATTATTTATTGATCATACGCAAATGTTCTGTTTTCTACAGTAGCGCATCGATTATTTTGCAGAATTTTAAAATTGTAGATTTTACTATAATATAAATTGTAAAAAAGCGAATTGAAAAAAGAAATTCTTCTTCGTCACAAGGAAAAATATATATCGAAAGAAGAGCGTGTATAAGTAAAATCGAAAAAGATGGCACAATAGAGGATTGAAACTAGCTGTTGTCGAGTCGGAAACTCCGACGAGGAAGAGATTAGACCAAACGTGTCTATAGTAACTCGACTTCGGAAATCAGTATAGCAAATCACTTTCTTCTAGGTTTTTCACATTTTCTAAAACTTTCTCTTTCGTCTTTCACATAGACATTTGGAAGAGAGAAGAGAAAAATCCCTTCTCTATACATTATGTAAGAAAGGAAAAATTGACAAAATGGAAAAGTGAAAATTTATACAGTAAATCAGGATGATGTGTGGTCTACTGGATTTCTTAATTTTCCATTTTGTCAAGAATATTTCTCAAAAGTAATCTCCATCGGTGTGTTTATTTAAGATTTTTACTAATTATAAATTGTTATTTTAGTTTGGAAGTTTTATGCTTATTATCAGTTGCTGATTTCCATTATCGAAATATAAAATAGCCGGAAAGAATTTGGTTAGTATAGTGATCAAAATATGCTAAAAATAGCATTGATTAACCTTTAAATAGTAAATAAATATCACGAATTCGAGGAGCCAAAAATAATGTTACTGATGTCACCGTGATTAAGTTTAATATGATGATATCCGGTATCGATTTAAAAATCCTCTCTATCCGGCCATATATTACAGCATTTTTTTCCACATCCCAAAGTCAGTTCCTATTACATAGACTCAAATCGATAGAATTGCTTAGAAAGACAAAAATTGTTATCAATTTTAACTTGCAAAATATCGATATGGTCACGGATTAAAGCTTTATATGAGGATAAAGCCAATGGATACTGGAAGAAAGATCTGTTTATCCATCAGTTACTTTGGCACTGGTTAAATCTAGGTTAGATTTTAAGTTTGAAACGGAATTCTGCTGACTGGCCAAGCTTATCAAAATCCTTTTACGAGGTGCGGAATAGACTACAGATAAAGATATATGTAGTCGACAAGACATAGATGAACAGATAAGTTAGTAGATTTACGGGTGGATGTAAAATTTACAAAGTACATAGTAAATTCCGGTAGGAGAAAGAGGAAATCGTAAATCAAACCTTTCCCTGTTATTTGGAGAAGTAATAGAATGTAACAAAGATACTTGACTAGGTGTTAGCTTATCTTGGATGTCCAGATGTGGTTAGCCCAGGGCGGATATATCCCTTTTCCATTGGCTTTTAATAGCCGAGTTTTACTGTTTATACAGGTCCTATATCATTGGATTTGTCTTCGAAAGGGTTGTTTGATTGAAGGATCAGTCAGGTCTGCTAAACTGAGATAAGCAACTTAAATATGGATCTCTTGATTTCATTTAAGAAAAAAAAAATGTCTTATTAAAAATATGTCTGGTTTATATTTCTAAATTACTATTTAAAGTCTGGATTAAGAACGGAATTAGGAGATATTCATCAGTTTTAATGATATTTTATTGTAGATTTTATGTCTGGGCGTTCGGATTTTGAGGAAAGAAAGATAATTTTAATGTTAATATACTGTATAAAACTTAAAGATTAAATAACAATTACTGTAGGTTTTTAAAATGTTATCGTAATTTTGAATTTTATAGACTCAAGTGTTGACTCTAGACATTTTTCTTTGGGGAAATATTTTCTTATAAAAGATTGGTTTGGGACCCCCTGTCAGTGTAGGTCTTTTGACAATTGCCTTTTTTGCCCATAGGACAATGCGCTACTTCTAAAATGAGTTTTTTTTTTAGTGTCAACTATGTTATATATTAAATGACACTGAAAGTAAGTGAAGAATTAACATAAGTGGACTCACATTATATCTAAATATTAAGCACAACTGAAGTATAAACAGTTTTAACTATACATTAGAAACATAAAATGTGCTCTAGGCTATTTAAATTTGTCGAATTGTGCTCATTGACAATGCTTTTTGATGGTCTATCGATCACTAGAAGATCCCAAATGAATCTTTATTTATTTAGTTACTTGTTTTTTTTTCGTTCAATCATAAATTTAGAAAACGTTGTTGAAAATTTTTGTTGACATATAAAATATTTGAATAGAAGAAAATTTTTTTCGTTTAGATGTCCCTCATTAATTTCTTTGTTTTGTTATTGGCGAAATTATTGGTGTGTAAACACCTCATAAGAAACAAAGAGACGGATTCATTAAGAAAAAAGCAAAAGGTTTAATGATCTATATTCATAATATTCCGATTTTTATGAAAGGAAGAAAGGAGTGGTTATTTCTGATATCTTTCTTTTGTAGAAAATTCAGTAATGCGATGTAGAAAATGTCATTTTTGCTTAGTAGTGAGCAAAAACTTGTAGGATCATCATTTATCTGTAATTGTAATGTCAAAACTGTCGATAAAAAGCTTTTTTTTCTGATAGATGAATTAATATAAGCTGATAGACGAAATCAAAAGTCTTTTAAGGGTCCTAATCTTTAAAGATGTGATATCGTCTTCACAAGAAAACGTTACAAAAAAAAGAAAAAAAAATTTCTAACGAAATTCAAAGCCTCTTTAATGGACATATGAAAATGTATTGTATTTATTAATTTATATTATTAATAATAATAGGGAAAAAATGGAAGTAGCTTTATTGCTTTAAATATTTCAACTTAAAAAAATGATAAAAAAAATACCTTTAATAGTATAAGAAACTTGGATACTTTAGTTAATAATAAGGCGGTTATCTATTGAAATTTCTACTGGCGGAGTCTATTGTGTTTGAAATTTTATGGAGAAAATAGAAAATCTTCAAAAGTTTAGAAGATATTTCTGAGAAATATTAAAAGAAACTGAAAGAAAAAAAAAATTTTTTATTTTCTTATTGATTTTTGAAAATATTTTTATATTCGTCAACAGTAAATTAATCTTTAAAGCAATACTAATAATAAGAATTTAAATAAATAAAATGTTTAATATTATTATTTTCTGATAGAATTATTAATAATATTATTTTATTTTTAAAAAATGTTTGCTAAGTATTTTTATTTAGCAGGAAAGGAGGGAAAAAAATGTGTTATGAAACGAGTTTTTTCAATGCGTAAGTCTCAGTTACTATATTTTATCAAATAGCTGTCTGGCTGTAGTTACTCGGAAATTCCAACAAAAATAAGCAAAATATAAAAAAAAACTTTAAATGATTTTAAAAAATGAAATTCTTTGGAGGCCGCATATCAGAAGCCAATTTTACGATGTTTATCTCTCGTAAGTTTGTTTTGGAAATTGCGTAAACATCTTTTGCCTTCCTTCCATAGAAACTAACTTTGTGTTAGTCTCTGCATTCCATTTAAGGGAATTTTTACGCTTTTAAATAGTTAAATTGCTGTAAAACTTGTTTTAAACGGATACAGTATTATGGAAATGGGAATGGAACGAAGTTAACATAAAAAAACTATTGTGAAAATGGAAATGACAGGAAATTAATATTAAAAATTCAAATACCAATTTTTCGAATTTATTATTATTATTATTTTATAAAACATATTTTAAGTTTTTAAAATAAAAATGCNGCAGTTTGCAGTGGCGCTTTATAGCTTCGTGGGGCCCAGACAAATTTGCATTACGGGCCCCATATACAGTGTTGACTGTAGACATTTTTTTTTCATAGGAAATTTTCGAGGGAAATATTTTCTTATAAAATATTGGTTTGGGGACCTTGTTCGTGGGAACCCCTTTTGCTCATAGGATAACGCGCCACTGTCAGACAGAATCCATTGATGAGTATGGTTAAGAAGGCCTCCTTAGTGCCTACAGGACGGAAATGAAAAATAAATAAAAGCTGACAACATTGTTGCTAGACTTTTCCGGCATTCTTTGTTTTTATCCCTAATAATTTCTACTATTACCTTTAAGTCTTCGGATTGTTTCGGGAGATATTAAGGGCGTGGGATCATATCTCCCGAAGAAATGAACCGATTTTCTTGAAATTTTCTGAAAACGTTTCACCTTAATATACTAATCTTCAAGCAAAATTTTATAAATTTTCGATCAAAGGTACGCGAGTTATTAAGCTTCAAAGTGGGTAAAATAATCGTGCCCTCTCGACATAAGTTGGGATTTTAATTTCTGTATGTACTGTACACCCATACATACAGAAAAAATCCCCAACTGTTTTTGCATTAGTCGACGTTTCAAGGTTTCCTGAGTCCAAAAATATA